TTTTGACAGTTTAACAAAATTACTTTCAAATCTATGTGTTTAACTTTTCTTAAATACTTCAGCAAAACTATCCTTTCCGTGTGCGATAGTATATATTGTCATAGTCCAACATAATTAATTACATACGCGCAAAAATCTGTAATATTTCATTTTTATTTCTAAATTGTATATCGGTCAATTGCGCAATTGATTTGACAGGATTTACTTAATTTTGCTTGTCGCTTTTCCGTTATAAGAGTTCCATCTTATGACAGTCTTGAGATAATAGATATGGATTAAACGATCTAATTATCCGTGCGACATATTGTCAACCGGTGGAAGGAAAACTCCGCGATTTTGTAACACAATGGTGCACCTCGTTCACGAAACCGCTCTCGAGCTTGCCTCGATTAGATCATCCGCACGTAAAATGCCCGTAAAGTAAGAAACGCAGCGGACTTTCATCGTCGCTTGCTCGCAGAAGGGGCAATCGTGCGTCTCGGGTGCGCGGCACTGTCGTGCCGTCTCTCAAAGGAATCGAGGTTACAATGCTGATACACGTTAAGAAGGGGAGGGGAGGAGGGGAGGGGGAGAGGTTCCTCGCGCAATTTCACGAGCTACGAGTTTACTTTTAAAAGCAGACGAGCCTCTCTCGACTCTTGTGCAAGCACGCGCCCCGGGTACTTTAGATCGTTGCGAGTAGGTGGTACCGGCTTGCGTCCACTTGTTACCACCAACAGGTTCCCGATAATACTGCATCGCACGAACTTTCTTGGAGATTCTTTATCTTGTCTGATGTACACTTTCTCTACGCCACTCGATCAAAAAGCCAATCATGCTTAAATGACACACTTATTACAAAAACATAGACTTAATTTCGAGAACTTTATCAAAGTGAATATTTACATACCTTATAATATTATAATATATTTGCTTATAATATATAATATATTTCTTCATAAAAAATGTAAAAAAAAAAGAAGTCATAATGTATAAAAGAAGAAATCATTAATAAAGTAACATATAAAGTATAAAGTAAGTTAACATTATATGTAGAAAAAAAGAAAAAGAGATGTGGACAATATATCTTTGTAAATAATATTGTGTCACTTTAATATCATTAATGTAGTAAGTACCTACTACACATTTCTGCTACTGAATGATTGCGAGAATCGTTTGCTTTCTACTCGTTTAAGTAGCAATCTCTTTGACTAATGGTATCCTGATCCAGTCTTGCGGCCTATGCCTCACAAAATAACCGTTTGTAACGCAATACTAGTGTTAAGCATCACTGTATTAGCATTGCCTTCGGTCAGACAATTTCCGCAAGGATGTCTCAACATTGTTATACGCGTCGGATTAATTCAGTAAGATGCACATTAATGACGTCATAGCAAGGACATGATCGATGGTTATTCAAATGGTAATACGCTCGCCTATCTCTCCCGAGTTATTAATGCATCGGTCTATAGCCACGAAATGTTAGCTCATTGAAATAATACTGATTTCATTACTGATTAACATAAGTCTTATTCGTCATTCTTTATTTCTCTTCTAGATCATAATATTACTGATAAATACAATCGAAACAACGATTTTTCTAAAATCTCTAAAAATTTAGATAAATAATAATTTTGTTGAATCTCAAAATAAAATATATAGAAAATTCAAGCATAATGAGCTGCAAAATATTTTTACGTTCTACATAAAGAGAGAGATTTCTTTAAATTTAATAAATGTAGTCATTAGAATAGTCTAACTGATTCTTTAAATTAAGAAATGCACAATAATTGATTGCATTCTCTCTCTCAACCTAAATTTTTGAGATTATTAAACAAAATAGTTCAAAATTAAATTGTTTCAATAATAATTTAAATAGGAGTTTTGAATCAAAATAAATCTTTCTCTCTCTAGTAATCAGTTTGACTCACACATATAAATATTTTAATAGTCCCACAAAATTATCTTCAGATCTATATATATATATATATTTAGTTAAATTTTTAGATACTCCAGCAAAATTGTTTTTCTCGTGTATAAATAGAAAGAAAGCAATGGTAAAAAAAAATTATGCTGACGACCTTGATTGACTAGCTACGATTAGTAATTTGTATCTTGCTTGTGTAACTATATGCTTGTAACACGAATAAGAGAAAGAAAGTTTATCGATCAGCGTCGAATGACGTCAGTGTGAGCAAAGATTACCGAGAGAAAACGGATGTTTACACTGCCAATGCACCAAAGATTTTCTAGCAACTAACGAGTAGAGTATGCAGGAATGTAGAGCGACGCGTTCGTGAGTCAAAATACGATAGGGACCAGGGAGAGATACGGAATTTCCAAATGGTCGCATTTCCACGGTATTTAATAACGTGAGAGGCATGAGTAGGCCGTGGGAGTGAATCGGCTTTGCCGCAATGGTGCAATGTAATGATGTTCGGATACGACCACAATCACCTAACAACCTAATGATTGCATGCTCGCTCTCCTGGAATGCCCGATCACAGGCAGGATGGCAGGATGAAGTTTACCGACCAAGTCAATAGTAATCAGATGGTAGCGTGATCCTCGTGCTCGTATCGAAGAGAAGAGTATGTAATAAGCGTGTCAATGCAGATGCACGCGCACCGAAGAATGTGCAGAAACATAATGGGAAACCGGCACAAACCCCATAGTCGTGCCACGCAGCGAAAAAAAAAGAATACTTAAGTATACGCTTAAGTACACGTGCGAGCATTGTAGTGTATATGAATTTTATGAGGACATTTCTAAAGAGATTTTACGAGAAGTGAACTTTCGAATTTTATGTTGTGTCAAAATAATTATGCACGAGAAACTGTAGAAATTGTTTCTATGCAGAAAGATTCAATATGTGTGAATAATAGTTTATTTGCATTCGTATCATCACATAGGATTTTTACCACTATTTCGTCTAGTTCATATTATATTTACCGATATAGATCTTGATATGTCAAAATTTCTTTTTTGTCCATCCAATTAAGATAAAGGATTAATGGAGTATAATGATTAATTTTTATAAATTTAAGGGAATAAAGCCGTTAACAATGAAACACGTAATGTGTTCGTGTCTTAGACTCTCAAAGCAAGCGGTAATGACACGCTTGTTGAGTAACATGTGAACAAGTATCGGCCGTGGATATTATATAATACCCATTGGCCTATTAAGCCGGTGTCCGATGGTGCTATTACGGTGAAGATACGCGATTAAGCGTCCGCATGCTTTACCATATTACTCTCGCGCATATTGTAATTACAGTCGAGGCTGTTAGTTGCGGTAATTTTATACAATTTTCGAATTTTCCTGTCGAGTCTGGCGCAAAGTGAAAATTTGCCTTATATGTCAAATCAATATGTGTGGTTTCGTAGGGCATTGTAATATATTGCTGTGTACAAAGAAAAATGTAAAGATAGGCTTGTGAGCTATACTTATTCTATGATCACTTGTTAACAAGTACACACGACATAATAATGCACGGATGATCTTTGACCGGTAATAGTAATTTGCACTTATATTGCAGGAATGGTTTTCTTGTTTTACACGTTGAATGTAACCTTCGAAATATTAATATGCAATTAGAAGATATATCCATATAATTAATAAGTAATAATTAAATAAGTAATATGTAATTATATCACCAATTAAGTAATGTAATTTAATTCTTAATATTAGATCATTCATAACCTTTTGAAATATTAGAAGCTAGACTAAATAACAGTCTTTCCTCTTTTTTAATGCACACAAGCTTACAAATACTTTCCAAAAAAGTTAAAATATATGTGAGAATCATTTAATAATTTTTATAAACTTGTAAAAATATTAAAAATTTACCTATTAAAATTCTCATATGTTCTAAGGTTAATTAAATGAAATTCCGCATACATTACTTGCGTAAGATGCTACTGCCTGTTTTATAGCAACAACTTCATCTTCGTATGAATCCTACGACCCCACGTTGAACTCAGAAGCGTGATAAGAACATCTGATAATTTCACAAGCTTGGAGAGAAAAAAATTGAGGCAGACAATCGCATAAGGTTAATCGACGTATTATACCGCCGTTAATAACAATTGCGTAATCACGATTGACGCCGAATAAAAGACCGTCGCTAACAAATCGCCGTTAAATCGCCTTATGACAGTGCGGCTGACCGATCAGCTGTTGCAATCTTACTCGTCGTGAGGTTGACTGACTGACAACTCTACAAAAGGCCGGCGCTACATCGCCACGAAAATGTCAGGAACTGCTTACGAAATCGGACAACAACGCTCTTCGAAGATTATCCCTTCGCATGTCGCTTACACCTAGGTAACAACCAGATATGATTCGTTCGTAAAAATGTTCACAATACGTCTGTACCGTACATTGTAGTTTTTTGCATGATGACGAATTCTTTATGAAGCAAAGAAATA